ATATCGACTTTCTTTTTTTTTTTTTTTTTTTGAGACAGAGTCTCACTTGTTGCCCAGGCTAGAGTGAGTGCCATGGCATCAGCCTCGCTCACAGCAACCTCAAACTCCTGGACTCAAGCGATCCCCTGCCTCAGCCTCCCGAGTAGCTGGGACTACAGTCACGCGCCACCATGCCCAGCTAATTTTTTCTATATATGTTAGTTGGCAAGGGAGGCTGAGGCAGCAGGATTGCTTGAGCCCAGGAGTTTGAGGTTGCTGTGAGCTAGGCTGACGCCACGGCACTCACTCTAGCCTGGGCAACAAAGGGAGACTCTGTCTCAAAAAAAAATAAATAAGTAAAACATGAAGTATGTGTGAGGAAGGTAAGTGCTATGGAGAAAAATTGAGAGAAGTGAAATAGTGAGTGACTCTGAGGGGGGAGGGGGTGGATAGGGTCTCACGTAAATGATAAGTTGATATATGAGCAGAGACTTGAAGGAAGTGAGGGGGTCCAAAACTAGATCTCTGGGAGAAGCTGAATATTTCTTAAGTACTACTCATTGTTTAATCTTTACAACAACACTATGTGGTAGATACATTTATTGCTTCGATTTTACAGATAAGAGAATGTAAAGAGGTATAAAAATATAAAGAAACTTGCTGACGGCCACACTACTTACAAAGAGCAAACTAAGGTTTGCACCTAGATCTTCCTCACTCACGAGTTGTGCTTTCAATCACCTTTCTCTTATCAAGTCATGCAACTGTCCAATAACAAGATTTCTATGTGCCCAATTACTGGTACCTCCCCAACAGGATAATCAATTACAACATCACACTTAAAAAGAAAAAAAAATTAATTTGAGAGGAAAAACGTATTTGAAGTTTGTCTCATTAAAATAAATAAATGAGAAACATGCTTCTCCACTACCCTGGTAAGTGCTCTAGGTGGAGGCAGACCTGGAACTTTAAGTCATGGTTCTCCAGGCACAAACAAACAAGGGTTGCCCCAGCTGACCCTGTAGCGACACATACTGCAATTGTCTTTCAAAGCAGCAGACTCTGATCTGCCAGAAGAGGCCATGAAAAGGGAAAGACGGAGAGGATGGAGGGACCAGGAATGGAGTTTGTTGTTGGAAGTCTCTATCCTCATTTCACCTTCAGTTTACCCCTCTCTTTTAAATTAACTCTCAGGATTAGGGTTGGTTGTTTCTATCTGGCTACATAACTGAGCCTTACACAAGGTGTAATTTACCTCAAGATTGGTCTTGCTGGGGTGGGAGGAATTGCTTCCAGGAACCTACCTCCATATGGCTCCCAATTAAGCACTAGATTCCACAAGGCCTTAGCCATGTGGCCTGCTGACACAGGGCGGCAGAACTATCACCACTGTGTTGTCCAGGCTTTCAGTCTTTTGATTTCCTCCCCACTCCTTGGATGCTCAAGTAAACAGGAAGGCCATATGCCTGTGCATGAAGTGTGTGGGTAAGGGCAGAAGGGTATTGGTAGGAAAATGGGAAAGAGGGAGGCTGTGTTCTCCAGTCACTCCAGACCTAGGAATAAGTAGGGTTTTGCAGCAATGGACTGATTTGAGGGAAAGTGAACATACAAACCCAGGCCATCAAAGGGAAGATTATCTTGCTTAATACCAGGGACAGATGTTTTTCTTTCTGCCTCTCAAGTTCAAAGAGGAAAATCGGGACAAGCGGCTTAGGTTGTAAACTTTAGGGTGAAGAATCCTTTCTGTTGAGCTTAGCCCTCAGGTTCTCAGTAGGCAACTGCGTGTGAAATATAATTAATAGCAGGATAAATACAAGTTGTGGACGATTCGATTGAAAGTCGGAGTCCCCTTCCATGAGTCCCCCTACAAACAGTCTGTCATAAAGAGGACTTAATCAACGTTAGCAGGACTATTAAAAAAAAAAAAGTATCACCTATTAAAATCCAGCTCTTCTCTAGCGCCTCTTACTGGAGTTTCTCTGTGTGGGTGTGTTCGTAAGAGAGTGGGTGAGCACGCCTGTCCTGGGTACAATTTGTGTGTCTGCAAGAGAAAACAGAAGCCTCAATGAGGAAGAACATATGTTTCTGGGACTGCATCTGTGCAAAAAAGTACACAGTCCTGAAGTTGTACTAAGAAATAAAGCTCTTTCCAGAAGTCTTTTATTTCGCGCATGTCATCTTCTTGGCACTTGTCCCTCACACTGCCAAGTATGAAAGCCTGACCTTTCTCACCCTCGGGACCCAGAAAACCACAGAACGTTGGGAACAGTCCGACAGAGCCTGACTAACCAGATATACTACTCACTCGGGGATTCCAGAGGCGAACCTCAGACCAGGAGCAGAAGTGACTCCCGGGCGCACCTGCCTGGAGGGCAGCCCCTCCCGCGGCCGAGCGGAAATCACACCCTTCCCGAGCGCTGGGCACAGCAAGGCACCCGAGGTGGGCTCTGCCCCGCGAGGCAGTACCCCGGGTGACTCCGACTAAGCGAGCGGCCCCAGGCGGCCCGCGCACCTGCCCGCACTTCCCGGTGGGCGGGCCCAGCTCGCCAGGTGTCCGCGCGCGCGGGTCGGGCCCCGCCCCCGCCCCTGGGTCTGAGTGCGCGTGCCCGGCCGGAGCTGCGCCCCCGCCCCCGGGGAGGCCGCGCTCCCCCGGGTCCGGGCCTCGCACCGGCGCGGGGGCGGGGCCGGGGGCGGGGCCTAGGGCGGGGGCGGGGCTCGCGCTAGCGCCCCCAGCTCCGCAGCGGCTTCGCCCGCAGGTCCCGCGGCAGGCGAGCGGCTCGGTCGCCCCCACCGGCCCCATGGCAGACCCCGGCTCCTCAGCTGAGTGCGGCTACATCCGGACCGTCCTGGGCCAGCAGATCCTGGGACAGCTAGACAGCTCCAGCCTGGCTCTGCCCTCCGAGGCCAAGCTGAGGCTGGCGGGGAGCAGCGGCCGCGGCAGCCAGGCGGCCAAGAGCCTGCGGATCCAGGAGCAGGTGCAGCAGACCCTGGCCCGGAAGGGCCGGAGCTTCGTGGGCAACGGTGAGTGGAGCCCCGCCTCTCGCCTGCACCGCCCGACCCTGCCTCCCCGGCCCCTCTCCTGCCCCTCCTTCACCCCCGTCGCCCGGCTCGCCCGGGCGGGCAGGACCTGGTGTTCTGCCCACCTGTTGCTCGCAGTCCCTTTGTGTGACCTGTCCGCGCCTCTGCACTCAGACCAGCTTTCTTGGAGAAAGCACTCTTTTAGCCATAGCCTCTTACTCAGCTTTGTCATATACGTATCTGTGTATACTAAATACACATGTTATCTATGTTAAAGAATTTAGTCCAAAATTTCGCCCCTTCTTTTGCTTATTCCGCCCATGCCCACCCCCACCCCCAACGGTACAAGGGACTTACTCCGGGGGTCCAGAGAGTCTGTGAACACTTTGAGAGTCCATCAGAATTTTGGTGTACACGATCACTTTTCTGGGAGAAAGTGCCCTTAGCTTTTATTAGATATTGTAAAGAGTCTATGACCTCCATAAATACTTTGAAAGAAAGAAAACCTGAAAGCACTGGGGCTCCTACACCCTGTAAATTGAGATTATGCTGCCTCGCCCAACTGATTTGGAGCCCTCCACCCAGGCAGTGTACACGAGAGGAGGGGTTGATCTAGGAAGTGAACAAATTGGGTAGGAGGCTTTGGTCCAGAGAACAACCACCAGCCGAGGAGGAGGAAGAGGAAGGGGACTTTGACCGGGCTGGCAATAGTCCTGCCGCCTAGCTGCTTCAGGCTCTTGAGCGCTGGCTGCGCTCTCCCATCCCCCAGTGCAGGCGTGGGTGCTAAGCTGGGTGCAAAAAATTAAATTCCGAGATGAAAGAGACCTTAACACACACACATGCACACACACGAATATTATATTAGTGATTGAAAGGGGAAGATGATGACAAACCAGATGTGAAAATTAGAGAACATGATGTATCCTTTTCTCCCCTGGGTGATCAGAACTACACAATAACTCTTGTATTAGTTGTTTAGTGTGTGTTTGTGCATGTGCGTGTTTCCATTATGAAAGTACTGTAGGCTGATTAGAGCAAAAAGAAGTGGAAAGAAAATGAGCAATTACATTGGGATTGCAGTGTGGTTCCTGCAATGTTGATCTGTTTCTGGAGGAAGTGGTTTGTGCAGTGTTCAACGTAGAACCCATTAGGAAAATAGGAAAATGCTAACAGGCCAGACCACAGATTTAAAACAGCAGAGTCTAGGAGGCTGTACTGTTTTTGATTTGTGTAAAAGAATCCTAAAAGATCAGGCAGTCAGTGTTTATATACTCGAAAGGTAAAGAGATGTTCAATGATTGTATCTAGTGTGATACAATCTGAGTACCTAGTGTGTGCTGAAAATTGGGCAATGTCGTTTGCATTCATTATATTACTTATATATTTTTTTTAGAAACTTCTGAGCTAGGCATTTTAATCATCATTTTATAAATGAGGAAAGTAAGCAGTTAAGTAACTCTTGAGTTCTCACAGATAGTAAGTGGCAGAGCTTACAATCTCCAAAACCTGATTTTATAAACCTCTCATCAGTTTTATCATTAAGTTTTTTGCTTATTAATACAAAGTGGGATTTATTAGACCCTAAGTCTCTCTGTGGCCCCCTCCTGTTTTTCTCTAAATAAAATTGAGGAATTCAGAGAGTGTGGGGAGGTCTAGACAACACAGGACTGCCACAGTACATTACACAGTACACAGTTTCTCTTGAGTGCCTAAGTAGGAAAAAGACCTTAATTTTTTTTTTTTTTTTTTGAGAGAGTCTCACTCTGTTGCCCTGGGTAGAGTGCCTTGGCATCAGCCTAGCTCACAGCAACCTCAAAGTCCTAGGCTCAAGCTGTCCTCCTGCCTCAGCCTCCCAAGAAGCTGAGACTATAGCCGCATACCACCATGCCCTGCTAATTTTTTGTATTTTAGTAGAGATGGGTCTCGCTTTTGCTCAGGCTGGTCTTGAACTCCTGAGCTCAAGCGATCCTTCCACCTCATCCTCCAAAGTGCTAGGATTAAGTTTTGATTTAGGAGTCTGACCAAAGACTCCAGGATAACTACGATAATTCTTTGACCAGCAGAATCATCCCCTTTCATTCTGTGTACCCATAGGTCCAGTGCTAAATTGAAACCAAAAAAACCTCCTCTGTTTGCAGGATGCACTGGATGCATATTAGATATTTTTTCTTCTCCTATGAGAATGGCCAGCCAGGAAGAGCAATAAATCCATGAACATAAGGAAGAGGCATTACTAAGCATCTACTATGTACCTGACCCTGTTCTAGAATCTTCATGTGGTTTGTGTTTCATTATATTCTTAAAATAAGTAGATCTGAGAATCCATTTCACCTATGAAGTATGGTTCTGTCTGTCAACATTTGTTGAAAGTTTAGTCTCAACCCCACATATGATCTGTCTTCTCTACAGCATAGTACATCAAATGCTTGGTGAATTCAGCAACCATCAAATGAGTATGTACTTTGTGCAGGTCACTGTGCAGGTGCTAAATGAAACACACAGACTCTACTTGCTTTAAAGCATGAAATGTAATGTCTGAAGAAGGAAGCCTACCTCTAGAAAAATATATTACCAAATAAAAAGTAGTAAGCGACCCTCAAGAAGAACAATTAACACGTTATGGTGTTTAGAAGTGTAGGTTGCTCCTAGCTGAAGGAAATGTTGAAAAGCTTCATGGAGGAATTGGGATTTTTAGATCTCAAAAATTCAGTAGGATTGGCATACGGAGGTGATTGGAGAAAGAGCATTCTAGGAGGGAGCAGAATGAATATTTCATAGTTCACAGAGTTGATACGGTAGAACAAAGGGAACTATCTTGATGCTTCTGCAATAATACTTAGGGCACCTACTTGAGTGGCTCTTCCAACTAAGGAACAAAGCCTTGGAAATATTTTGATTACAACTGCAGCTTCCCAGCAAGCTGAAATACACTCTGCAGCCTACACAGAAGTGCAAATCAAGCAGAGAGATAAGGCAGCAAACAACACCTACTTACTTTAAAGCCTCAGCTTTCTGAGTCTCAAAAAGGAAATCGACTTCAAAGGAATGTAACATTAGCATGCCATGGAACAATTACCAGGGGTGGTTCATATAAGTTGTTTAATTAAAGTTCTTTGAATAGGTCTGGGGGTTCATGATGCTGGTATTATTTTTATTATTTCCTTATTACTACCCTGTCTCTAAAGTTGAAACAGACAAGCAATTGTTGAAACAGTTCTAGTCTGGAAAGAATCCTGTATCAACACAAGAAATTCCAGAAAGAAAAGCCCCTGATGTTAACTGCTATTAGTGCCAGAGCTCTGGAGAGTTCTGAATTGTTGACAAATCTATAAGGTTGAGGCAGCAGATAATCTGCTGAAAACAGAGATGAGCTCAATTTGGCTGTTTTGTTGATAAAATACCTTACAAGGGTCTTTAACTCTTTGACTTCTTTCTAGTGCCTTAATATAATATAGTTAGGCAGTTGTCACTGTAAATTACTCAGAGACTTTTGGTGTTATTTTAAACTGTGGTGAACATTTTAAAGTTGGCTGTAACTCTTTGTGGGGGGCAGTCAGAAGTACATAGCATCGTTGTGAAATAAGTCTGTATTATAGCTAATATTTAAAATCCTTTTCTAAAAGTCACAGAGAAGACATTTAAAAATTGCATGTATTAGCAAAGGGAAAAATTAAGTGTCCCTATCCCATTTATTATGCTTGCCATGAACGTAAATACGACTTTACTTGTTACACGGTTTCTCTTGACTGCCTAAGTAAGAAGAAAGTCATGTTTTAAACTGTCATATGTCCTACTTATAAAGTGCAATGAACAGTCTCCTAATGCAATTTACAGCATCTTTGGAAATCTACCATAAAAACTTGGGGCATATAATTTATCTAGACGATTTCCCTGGTAAAGTTGTTCTGAATATCTGTGATCAGAGTGAATTCAGAAGAGGGGACTGAAAATTGGCTCAGGATAGCAAAAAAAAAAGGCAGTTATAGGTGCTACTGTAAAAAAAAAAAAAAAAAAAGTTAAAATTCTGTATGAATTCTTTGTTTGCCAAAAAGTTACTCCTTGGAATGGAGCAATTCTGGGAGCAAGGTGACTAGTTATTCAGAAAGTAGGAGGGATCAGAAAAGGGTGGGCGAGGGCAGGAGAGTGAGATGGCAGGGATATGGCCCTGCTGCTCTGAATGTACGGTGTCAGTAGCACGATTGGATCTAATGTACCTCCACATCTGCCTGATGTAGCACGTGGACCACTTTTTGTTCGGTGTTTAGCAGATTGAGTGTAGTGAGAAAAAAAAAGTGAGTTTTTTTTTAATACTTCTGATTATAATTAGTCGAATGAAATAGAATGCCAACAAAATGGTGATTGCAAAAAAGTAAACTTCACATACCTAGAAAGGGTGAGGACACATCTTTTATGGGTGAAGTTTTGAGTGAGGGTGTGGTAAGGATGCTTCAGAATCAGTGAAACTGTAAGAAACCACAAAGAGCCAGAGAGACAGTTTGATTGTAAAAGTATATTGTTCTATGCGTCACAGATAAGATGCAGGAAATTACCTTAAAGAAAATAAGACTGTTCGCTTAGATTTTTTAAAAGACTGTTAATATTATAGATGCCTTGTGCTATTAGTTTCACAATGGTGGGAGCAGAGGGTAGCTCACTAGAATTAGATATTCTGAATATTTATTGTTCACACTGGCTCATTCTCCTAAAGTGTCACTTTAGATATCAGCTTTAAATTTTTTTCTCACTTATTAAAATAAGGCTATACATACTTACATTATTTTATCTTCACATAAATTTAACACTGATTTTACACTAAAATTGAATTTCTGGTCTGATCAATAAAAATTATTAAAAGTACTTATTTTTCTTAAAGAATAAGCATATTATTGGCAACCTATCTATGATAGTAATGAAATAAAATATGTTGCTGAAACCTCTGGAGTTTATAAATCAGACTTGATTAATATGACCTATCATCAGATCATTTGGTTCCATTTCAGATG